CATAGAGTAATTATGGGCAAAAAGACGTCTGTATTCTTCGGCTCTAATGGCCGGATACTACAAAAGATAGAATGGGAAAATAAAATTACATTATACAAAGAAAGGGGACTCAGGCCGGCTCCCTCCCGGAGTCTGCTCTTCCTCCTCGGCCTCGGGCTCAGGGGTCGGGGGTTCCGGAATCTCCCCTCTGGCCTTTGCTTCCGCCCGCCGTTGGTCCCTCCCCAGCTTCCCCAGGGCTTGAAGCAGCAGATCATCATCTGTGTTCGCAGCCAGCTCAAAATCAGCCCCTTGCAACCTCGAGAAGATGGGGAGAGTGGCCTTGACCCCCTCGTTGTAGCCGGCGGCGAAGGTGCTGTCGCCGACCTCATAGAGGAACTTGTGGGACAAGGGGGAGCTCTCCAGAATCCGGACCCCGCTCGCCAGACGCTGCCGGGGTGGGATCTTCGCCAGCGCCGCAGAGAACACATCACCGAAGGCTCCGGCGCAATAATCCTTGGCGGAATCCATGAATTCCCCGGTGTTCCTGTAGCCGGAGGTGTCGACCAACCACTCCGGAGTGGCATCCTTGGCGGCAGGGAGCACCGGAACAAGCTTGAAACCGGCTCTTTCAAGGCCGGCCAACTGGCTGCGGGATTCAGCCTGCAGGGCTGCAATCTCCCTCCCTTTGGCTGCGGCCTCCGCCTCAGCTCGACGGGCGGCCTCCCGGGCCGCAGCAACGGCCGCATCAGCTTTGGCCTTGGCCTCCTTCAGATCAGCCTCCCTGGCAGCTTCAGCCTGGAGGACTAGAAGCCCAGACTGGATGACAGAAGAGAAAGTAATGGTCAGGAGATGAACGTCAAGGAAAAAACGCACTCGGATCTAGCAAGGAGGAATTACCTGAAGAGCGGCTGCCAGGGCAGCGCTGGTCGCCTCAGAGGACGAACGGCTGGGCAGCTCGAGACCGGCCTTGAGGGCCATCTCCCTCCAAAGCTCTTCCGCCGGGCGGCTCAATGGCAAAGAGCCGGCATCTTCAAGCAGGGGCCCGGTGGAGCCTGCCTCGCGGCCCCTCTTTTGTTTCTTCTCGGGGACCTTCTCCGTCCCCTTTTGAGGAGCCGCCTTCGACGGGACGACTGGCGGTGGAAGGGCAGCCTCAAGAGCAGGGGCCCCAGAACCCTGAGCCAGCATAGTGGCGATCAGGTGCTGTTCACCCTCAGCAGTTCGCCGGGCAGCATCAGAGGCCGAGGAGTTGGACTCCGAGGCGGGGGCATTTTTGGCTTTCGCCAGTGCGGCTTTAGCAGCGGCCGCCTTGGCCTTCCTTGTCTTCAAACACTCGGCGTGATTCATCTGGTCCCTGTCGGGCGGAGAACCTGCAAGGAACAACAAAGGGTTAGAAGACGAGCGGGGAGTACAGTAAGACACTCACCTCGAAGGACAGGACCGCCCGGTGCCCCGAGACGAGCGTCGAAGGGTAGAAAGAGTCCAGGGACACGGGCGGTACCTATGCCTGCCCCGGAGAGTGCCTCGAAGGTCAGATATTCGGCTATTGGACGGACGCCCCCCTCCAACACCTTCTCCACGTCCCGAAGTAGATCGTCGGTCGGCTCCGGTGACTCAATCTTTGGGGGATAACCATTCCACCGAACCAGGAGGGGAGGCCCATCGTATCTAAGGAAGAAGAAGCGGTTCTTCCAGTCGTGGATGGACGAAGGGTAGTTCTTGAAAAGCTTCCTTCCTGGACGCGCGGCCACACTCAGATAACCGTCGGAATTCTGGGGAGTGATGCGGTAGAAGTAGTGGAAAAGCTCCAGGTTGGCAGTGGCTCCCGCTAGTATGCAGCGCACCAGAAAGGCAGATATGAACCTATAAGAATTTGGCATGAACTGCGCCGGGGCCACCTGGAAACAGTGGAAGAACTCCACATAGAACGAATGAAGTGGAAACCGCAGCCCAGCTTCAACGGAATCCAGGTGAAGCATGGTCATCCCCGGACGTCGCCTCATCACGTGCTCAGCGCCTCTCACGCTCCAGACGAACGGCGGGGGGAAGAAAGTGCGGATTTTGTTTAGAGCAACCCGGGAGAGGACCTGATCGTGATCAAGGGCGCTTCTAATCGGACAGATGTGGCGCTCCATGTCCGTGGGGATGCCCAGGTCATATACCTCCATGTCAGAGCCTGATTCGGCTTCTTCCCCAGAGTCATAATTGGCGGGGCACTCATTCAGGGGGACTGCGTCAATAACATCTACTGCCCCGTCAGCATCCCCATCCCCTGCGTCGCTCCCACTACTTTGAGAAGCATCATCCGGCTTACCATCAGCCCGGATGGTCCCCACCGTCATGGCCGAACCAGAGGTCCCGGAAATGCTGGCCTTCCCGGGGGAACGCGCACTCACATTGTCCGAAGAGGAGCCCGAGGAGGAACCCGACGAACCGGAATCAGAACTTGACGAAATCTCCATCGAAGTCATTTCGGCTAGGAATCAGAACAAGAAAAGAAGCAGAGGGGGGGAAATTACCTTACAAGGGGATTAGCCGAATTCGGAAGAAGACTTGGAGAGCTGCGGAAAATCAAGAGCAAGAGAGCAGAAATTGGGAACCCTAATTCAGAGGGAAAACCCGACATTTATAGGAGAAACACCGATGGGGAAACCAACGAGGGGCTGACACGTGGCAAGGAGCGTATTCCGGCCCACGCGCTGTGCGTGGGGCAAAAACGCAATGATGACATTTCCTCGGGAAATGCTCCGCCGCAACATCAGCCGTCACCTCGTTTCCTGAACCGTCGACAGCTGTCAAACACCATGACCACGAGCGTACGCTTCCAACGGGCGCAGAAAACACAAAGTATCAAGACACGAACGTCTACCTTGAGGGGATTCCTACTTCCTTATGTCCTGCGCGAGCCCAGAACATCAGAAGTGGGGACTTGTGTTGGGTTAAGGGCCCAAGCCGAGGTCCGGCCCACTAACCCATATTGCCAGACGCACGTCCAGTAGAACACCAGGCCAGCTCACAGGCCCATGTCCCTTGGGGATGGACGAACGTCTGGTGTTGGGGGCTCAGGCCCAGCAGGCTCATCCGACGAACGTCTGTGCAGGGACAAGGAGCAGGACCACGGGCCACCAGGGATGGCGACGAACGTCTCCGGGGCATGCCTGTAGTCATCGGAGGGAACCCAGTCCACATGGTGAATATCTATAAGGCCAGGAGACGAACAGCCGGTATCTCCGGGGGTCACTTGGAGCAATCCGACTCACTTCCCGGGCGGACGAACGTCCCCACTAATCAGGCGGGAAACCTAGATTCTGGCGGGAAGTGCATTTAATGCTGAAGATTTGGTGGTTGGGACACAAGCGGTCCACAGGCTTCCACGTCAGCATAGCCACCTGCCCATTGGCGGGTATAAATAGAAGCATTTATTTCATTGTAAAGGGTTGACAACTTTCTATTCTTAGCACACTAGCTTCAGCTTTCTTACTCGCAGCATTTCTGATTGCCTTGTAAGACGAACGGCCGACGTGCCTTTTTTAGCAAGTAGATTGTACTTAGGAGAGTTATTACGAAGTTAATAATACCTATTTACATTGCCTGCTATTACTCTTGTTTCCTGATCCGTCTGATAGCTATTGGGCTAGATATTCATATACTCACTCCACTCGAAATCTTTGGGCTTACGTGTTGGGTCCAAGGGTTGAAGGAATAAACCTCAACACAGTGCATCATATTTTTTTCTTTGGCCGATGTTTATTTTTCCACTAGGTTTTGTTCATTGGCAACGGTTTAACACGTTAATAATTTTTACATTTATGACCTTACACTCGGCACACAGGGGGAGAATTAAAGGAATTATATTCCTCTATTTGTGTGCCTTCGCTAAGGTAATTAACGTGACAAGTATTGGAATGCATGAACTTTCCAATCATCCTTGATTAATGTAATTATTAAGGATATGTGTAGACTTGAGGGGGAGTTCCCCATCTGCATTACGTTACACTCTTTTCCTTTGACCAAGTTTTATTTTTTCCACTGGGTTTTGTTACTTGAAAAGGTTTTTAATGAGGTAACTATACATGCATATGTTATTGATCAAAGCAATGATCAAATGACGATAGACTTATTGAAAGAAGTTTATCACGATGATGTAATCTATTTTTCTGGTCAAGATCATTTTTTTCCCACAGGGTTTTTTTGTTACTTGACAAAGTTTTGAGGAGGCGACAAGACTGATACCAAATTCTATCTACAACTCAGCACAAGGAGGAGTGTTGAAGGAAATTCTATGTAGTGTGCTATCGTGTATATAGAATATGTATTAGGATCATTCTATGTAAACCATGTATTATGGGCCCATTGGCCCGTCTCAGTAAACCCTAATACCTCCCTATTTATAGGGCCTTTGAAATGAAACTATACGCTCAATTCTCCCTACAACAATAACTAAATAATTGTTATATATAATGACATGGCAGGATTATGTGTCGCTTTGTATGCTCTTAAAAAGTTCCTCTTATATATATATTGATTATCTCATACCAAATTTGATAATATTTGTGTGGTTCAATTACTCTATTTTCATTTTATCAATTCAATATCAACCATAAAAAAGCTCAATTTTATTGATAATTGCATCACCCCTTTTGTACTAATAATGTTAAAAGGGGACGAAGGTAGTAGTATAGAAAAAAGATACTTTAGATATCTCACCTCATACTCGATCAAATTAAAAGAAATTAAACCAGATTTGACTAGATATAAATAGATTTGATCAAATTTTATCAGAATTAAGCAATAGTAATTCACATCCAGCATCCATGTATTACTTAAATAAATCAGATATATATTTTTCTAAATTTTATATACACAATGTGTAAATGTGTTATATTTGTGTTATATGAAAAATAATAAAAAGTGGTATAATTGGATAGAGAGTATATTTTTCGTTAGGATCCAATGCAAATGAAAAAGTTTTGACATTTTATAATAAAAAGATTCTTAGTCACACGGCTCCAAAATATTGGGGTGTGGAATCAATTTTGAAATTGATTAAAACTTCGAATAGGCGTATGGACGTATTTCGTGGGAAAAGGGCATAGTAGCCTGTCCATAGCTCAAGGTCTATAACTCGGTTTTTCATGGCTAGGTTGATTTTCAACCAGTTCCAGGAGGATGGACTAATCCACGAGGACTACTACATTGATTTTCTAAGAAGTTTGAGAAATGCCTTCTCCCGGGGGGTCACAGTGAATGGGAAACCGAGGATTGACCCAGCACATCCAGAGAGCATTTTGGATGTGCAATGTTTTAGGGCGGGGGATGAAGAAGCACGACTTCTTTTAAGGTTCAACACTGCAGATCTATTCCTGATAGGCTTCAGGTCCGTGAACGAAGACAACTGGTGGGAGATGCCTCATTCTGGACTCAACATACCAGGCTCTGAGAAGCTTCCCTTTGATACGTCTTATCTCCAGCTTCACAGGGTTTCAGGCACAAAGTTCGGTAACATCACTATCAATCCATTTGCGGTTGACGATGCCATCCTCACATTGTCTTCATATCACAGTAACAGGAACACAAAAAGGGCAGCCAAATCAATACTAGTGTTCGTGATTTTATTTGCTGAAGCGGCTCGATTTTCGCTCATCTCGGACTTCATTCACAGAAACCATCTTACCGGAGCTGATATGGGTCTGATACAGGAGTGGGCATTCCCACTTGTACACAAGTGGGGAGACCTCAGCAACATATATATAGAGGCCTATACGCAAGAGGTTGACGCGCTGCCTAGACTTGCTGCCCTCAGAGCACAGTCAGGACATCAGCGGTCTATCACACGTTTAGATGAAGTGGACGCTGCGGTAGCTCTACTCAAGTGATTGCTTGAAGAAAGTAACATGAAACTATTGTAGAAACTATTGTGGATTGGAGATTTAGTTTCAGGGAATTTTCAAATCTAACAAACTGCATAAGGCTACTAGATAATAGAAACTATTGTGGATTGGAGATTTAGTTTCAGTCAATTGCAGTTAATTTCTAATTTCAGTCAACATGAATAGCTGATACATTCTAACTGATAGCACTCTTTGGAGAAGTGGTAGAAGGGGAAGGAAGCCATAGGGTGCCCTCTTGTGCTTTGCCTATGAGAAACTTCAAGTTGATTTGAAGAGTTTTTGTTTACTAGTACAATGTTTGGAACTTTTGTAGCTCTCAATGAGAAAATGAGTAAAATATTTTGGTAGTTATAAGTACCATAGATTATCCAACCCATTCTGTACCACCAAATGAATTTGTACCACAGTTTGGAGTAGTATTATTCATGGGGTATTCTAAACTAGAAAAAAAAATCATATACAGTGTCGTATAGAGTGTCTTTGCAAATCAATATCAGCAGAGAACAATCATTCTGTAAGCCACTTCAATATTTTGTAAATTCAAACTTATTTCTGAGCCACTTTAATAAGATGATAACAGTTTTTTTTACCGTATGAGTTTTATGGAATGAACTTAACTAAAGATAATTGATGAAGCGGCTCATCCAGTTCGACGCCACCTAACAAGGTTGCCTTTCTTTCTCCCCTTTCATCTTCTTTTTTTGTTTCTCTTAGTTTTTTCTTTATATACTTCGTATGTCTTTACCTTTACTCTTGCTGGCTTTTTTTGGTTATATGATAGCCAAAAGTTGCCCCACATTCTTTTTGCTAAAGCTTTATAGTGTTATTCACTGGAAATGAATACAAAGTGTTGCATACTATATTATATTTTAAATTAGTCAGTTGTATATTATTACACTTAATGCATATTACAGTTAAGTGCTAGTGTGCTACATTCAGCCATGCAGCCCTTTACCGCCTAGTAGGGTGTCTAGGTGACAAGGTGGTCGATCTGCTGGCACAGCTGCGCTGCACCCTCCATCCAACATTGCAAACATATTTGACACGCCATGAAAACCTCGTTTGGCCCGCACTTTGCTCTATAGGCTTGCATGCAGTGTTGTCGTTAAGCATGTAGCATATGCAAACTATCTACTAAACTTGATCTGGATATGACAATATCTCTCCTGTTGACTACTTTTTCATGTATGTGAAGGCGGCTTCGTATCATTCTAATAGTGTAACGGAGTTATGAAGATGAGTGTCTTGAGTTAGATACAATGGATTGCACTGTTGCAGTAAATGCTCCTTCGGGTGAAGATACACTACACAGTTTGGATCTATTTCAGGTAGACTGCCAATTTTTATCTATATGCAGTAAAGTCTGTTTGTATATTGGTGACTGTCATTTGGTTCATGATCGAGATAGGAAATTATTGACCAGTTTTCAACTTATTTGATGGATTGTTCATTTGTGACGAAAAACAAAATATTTGTTCCATTTTAGAGTAGAATGCATTGTGAATCAAGACTTTAAGATGCTATAGCCCATTCATTCCTTTGGTGTTTAATTTATTTATTTTAATAATTCAGCGATTGCTTTGGACGATGAAGCATTAAGGCGCTCCCCATGGTACAATTGAAGTATGTACATCTTTTGTTTTATTTTGTTTAGTGTCAGGTTATTTTCGTGTTACAAATAACATGTTATTCTGTGATATTACTGAATGGTGAATTGGTCCTCGAGTTAAAATGTGCATTTGAATGTGAACCATGAGTTGCGAAGTGAAGTGGAATCTTCTCGTGTAATAGAACCCCACCAGTTCCATCTGGTCATTATTTCTGCAATAATGGTAGGCTCCCGATCATCGTTTGAACTGGATTGCTGATAAACACTTCTCTTCCATACGTCCTATAATTTATGTGTTCCATCATCTGTGCTAATACTGATTTTAAAAAATGCTGAAAATGTTGTGTGGATTGCTTGCTAATCTTGGTTGTTTATGATCTGAATTCAATACATTGTCATTATGGTCCTGCATAATATATTCAATTGTTGGATGTCATTTGAGCTTAAGGTGTTTGTGATTTTCCTTTCAGAAAGCAAGGGATTGGCTTAATGAGGAAGGCTCTCCCATTCCAGAATTTGTTGGGGTACGTTCTTCCACATGTTTATTTTGGGGGTTGGTTGGTAGGATGGTCATGTCATTTCCTTCCTAGCAAGAAATACTACTATCTACATCTTTTGAAGCAAATTGGATTTCTATTCCCTTTTATCAGTAGTCCGTAGAAGGATATCACCTATTTCAAATTCTTTTGGCGTGAACACTAGATAATGAATGCACATGGTTGCTGCATATGAGGCACTTATTGAAGAGAACTAGCTTCTGATTCACTAATATATACCTTATGTAGGAATGTTTCATCATGGAGCTGGCCATTGGAATTGAGAGGAAATAAAGTCATGACCTTGCTATGGCGAATAGTTTTCCGGAAAATATAGATTCTCCTGCTCTTGCAAATGCTCGCATCTCCCCTGTTTCAAAGCAAAACCGTTTTGATCTAGTGCAAAGCCAATCTGATTTATTGAAAAGAGTCCTGGATAATTCAGATTTTGTTGATGTATTCCATGAGAAAATCAAATAGGTATCCATAACTTGTTTAACGTTAATTGGACGGCAAACTGCCACATTAAGTAGAATTCATGTTCTCAACTTATTCGTTCTCTTTTTGTTTCTACAGGATTGGTATTTTCGTGAAAAGAGGGAAGATATTTCTGTAGGAGTACTATTGGAATATAGTACGTAGTACTCCGTATATTTTAGATAAAAATTCCGGTAGTTCACAATAATTTGCACAACAATGATGTTGTTGTGATTAAGATATTTTGAATTATGATAATTACATTTGGGAAATGTATTGATGTAGTAGTAGGCCTGGCCTCGGGCCGGTTCGGGCCCGGTTCGGGCCCGGTTCGGGCCTAGGCCCGGCCGGGCCTCGGTTCGGTAATGTAGGGCCCGGGCCCGGCCCGCCTGTGAGCGGGTGCCGGTTCGGGCCGGGTGACCCGGCCGGGCCCCGGGTCGGGTGAACCGGCGGGTCGGGCCTAAAATAATTTTTTTTTTTAACTTATATTCTTATACATCTACTTGGAATCTTGAATATTAAAATTATTTAAAAACAATCTTGAAGTACATTTATGTGAAATAAGTAATAAGTACATTTTGAGAATTGAGAACAATTAATTCTAATACATTTTCTATTAAGTAATAATAATATAATATAATTAAAAAATGCGACATATAAAAAAATTTAACTTTTATTGATTTGAAATATGAACTACAAATCTACAAGTTCACAAATTACAATAGAGAATTGAGGATAAAATAAGAAATTGTAAAATACTAATCAATCGGAATCCCCGGCATAGGTAGAACCACCATCGGTTGATTCATCCATAAAGTCTTGGGAGGGGATGAGGCTAAGTTCTTGAGTTCTACGTCTTGCCTTCAACCAATCGTGGTAGCATATAAGTGTCTCAAGAGATTCGGCACTCAAACACGTTCTCGATTTAGTTAGGACGTTGCCGGCCGAACTAAATTCTTGTTCCACGGCAACTGTTGAAACCGGCATTGATAGTACTTGCTTAGCCATCCGTGCCAAAATCGGGAACGTTCTTTCTTTTGACTTCCACCACTTTAGGACGTCAAAATCTTCATTTTCTACAAACTCAACCTCATAGTTAATATACAAAGCAATCTCATTAATTGTGCTTTGTTCAGTAGTGTGCGTTGTTTTAGCTTTTTTCATAAGATTGCCAAATGCATATTTAAAAAAACCTTTTCCTTTAGATGAAGATGTTTGGGTTGGGGGAGGGGGCATGTTGCCATATTGTGCACGAAACTCATTAAATAAAGAATAAAATAAACTACTAACCTCGTTGTATTCAAATTGCGGATCTATAGGGTTATCTTCATACATTGGAAAATCACCATAAAAAGATTGATAATAGAACTTGTAACATTGTTCCAAATTACCAAGTCGATAACGAGGATCGAGAATAAAAGCAATACCATAAATATGTGGAATATGTGCATAATATTTTAAAAACTTTTCCTTCATAAAAGTACAAAAATAGCTCACATAATCGGCATTTTGAAATTCATTAAAAGCACCGGTGAGATTAACAAGTTCACGCATAAATTCGTTTGAAGTAGGTTTATAAACATGACTAAAACTTTCAGTTGCATTATTAAAAAATATCAAAACATTACAAATTTTTTCGCAAGTGTCAATGTGAGCAGAGTTTAAAATGTAGTTATCATATTCTTTTAAAAAAGCAGGAAAATGTTCTTTATATCTAATAAGAACTCTAATTAATTTATAAGAACTATTCCACCGAATAGACAAATCTTTAGGAAAAGCAACATATTTCACATTTCTTTCATTCAAATAATTTTTCCATTTTAATTTAAGTTGACCATTAGCCCAAATACGTCTAATCCCCCCCTTCGCTACCTCCATAGCATCTCCCAACGCTTTTAGACCATCCTGCACACATAAATTTATTATATGGCATGCACATCGTTGATGAAAAAATCTACCCATCAAAGTAGTAGCACCACACAATTCACGCAATCTAGGTATAGCAGCAGTATTATTAGTAGCATTATCAAAACCTATAGCAAACACCTTATGAACCAAATTATACTCAATTAAAATACGCTCAATCAAAATATAAATATGTTCGGCGGTGTGACGATCATTAAATTTACGAAAAGCAAGAACACGTTTATGCATATTCCAATCATCATCGACATAATGTGCAGTCAAACCCAAATAATGTAAATTATGATAGGTGTCCTCCCATATGTCAGAACAAACAGTAACACGTCCATCATAGTTTGCAAAAAAATTTTGTAAGTTCAACTTTTCCGCCTTATAAAGCCTTATAATTTCTTTTTTAACCGTTTTTCGACTATAACTTCGAAACTGAGGATTTAAACAAGTTTGTGCATACTCTTTAAAAGAAACACTTTCAGAAAACAAATAAGGTAAATTTTCTTCAACTATAAAGTTAGCCATACCAGTCAAATTTTGTTGATCATTGTATGAGAAATTACCATAAGGTTGGTTATTTGCAAACCTCGATATTTGTGTTTGCTTCCCCTTGCCTTTCTCAATTTTTGCGTACTCCACCTTGTGCTTGCCCATAAGATGCCTTTTGAGGCTCCCGTATCCGCCCGAAGTTCCCAAACTGTACACCTTATCTCAATGGTTGCAACTTGCGTACCATTTCTCGGTGCTTGGGTCTTTATACTTTTTAAAATTATTTTCTATAATAGGAGATTTAGATTTCGTACCTATTTGGGATGAACCACCCTCGTCACCCTCGTGGTCCGCCGCTTGCTCCTCATCCGGGGTGCCGTGACTCCCGGCGCCCCCCGCGTCCTCCTCCGGATCGTCATCCTCGAGCTCTTCTTCGTCAATGGTGTGAATATCGTCCGGGAGGACCGGGATGTCTCGTTGATGGAAAAATTGAGGATTTTGAGCCAATAGTTGTTGTAGTTGCTCGTCGGACATTCTTTCGCCATCTCGCCGTTGGTATTCCGGTTCGTCCTCCCATCCACTTTGAGAAGAAGATCCGGACTGCCCGCTTTTTTTGCGCAAACTAGGATGAGTTCTCGCAATCTCCTTCTTTCGGTTGCGTTGGAGATTTCCGATATCCAAAGAATGTCTACCGCGCTCCGATCCATCTTAACAAATATAAAAGTATATCAAATATTTTAATATGTATAAATTTACTAGGTGTACACTTTAATGAATAATGCAATAAATTAACTAGTTTTATACTTTAATTAAAATGTCTAAATTTACTAGGTGTACACTTAAATGACAAATGCAACAAACTAACTAGTTTTATACTTTAATTAAAATGTCTAAATTTACCACTTGTACACTTTAATGAATAATGCAACAAATTAACTAGTTTTATACTTTAATTAAAATGTCTAAATTTACTAGGTGTACACTTTAATGAATAATGCAACAACTTAACTAGTTTTATACTTTAATTAAAATGTCTAGATTTACTACTTGTACACTTTAATGAATAATGCAACAACTTAACTAGTTTTATACTTTAATTAAAATGTCTAGATTTACTACTTGTACACTTTAATGAATAATGCAACAACTTAACTAGTTTTATACTTAAATTAAAATGTCCAATTTTACTACTTGTACACTTTAATGAATAATGCAACAACTTAACTAGTTTTATACTTTAATTAAAATGTCCAATTTTACTACTTGTACACTTTAATGAATAATGCAACAACTTAACTAGTTTTATACTTTAATTAAAATGTCCAATTTTACTACTTGTACACTTTAATGAATAATGCAACAACTTAACTAGTTTTATACTTTAATTAAAATGTCCAAATTTACTACTTGTACACTTTAATGAATAATGCAACAACTTAACTAGTTTTATACTTTAATTAAAATGTCCAAATTTACTAGGTGTACACTTCAATGAATAATGCAAAAACTTAACTAGTTTTATACTTTAATTAAAATGTCTAAATTTACTAGGTGTACACTTTAATGAGAAATGCAACAAATTAACTAGTTTTATACTTTAATTAAAATGTCCAAATTTACTACTTGAATATAACGCCATTAATGGATAAAAGAAGAGAAGAATACCTTGGTCACCAAGGCTTGGTGGATTGGCCGATTGGTTGATGATGAATAGGGAGAAGATAATATATGTATGTAAAGTAGATAATTAGATATCAAATTATCTACTTTAAGAAGATAGTAAGTATATATTAACTATTAAGTAGACAATAAATATTAGTAAAGTACTATATGTATATATAAGTAGATAATAAATATATAAGTAGATATAATATATTAATAATAAGTAGAAATTAAGTAGATAAGGAATATAAGTTATATAATATATATATATATATATATATATATATATGTAAAGTAGCTAATTATAAGATAATAAATATATATTAAGTAGATAATAAATATTAGTAATGTAATATATGTATATATAAGTAGATAATTAATATATAAGTAGATATAATAATATTTATATAAATAATATATATGTAGAGATAAATTGGAGAAGAATAGAAGATGAAGATGAAGATGAATGAAGATTTTAGAGATTGAGAGAATAGAGAATTAGAGAGTAGAGAAGGTGTAAAAAATGTATAGAAAATAGGAGTATAAATAGGTTTTTTTTCTCCCCCACCCCCAACCCCCCCCCACCCCCCACCCCCCTCCAACGGCTATAGAGCCGTTTGGAGGCTCCCTAACAGCCCCAACGGCTACAAAGACCAAGACCAAGGCCCAAAAAAATTTGAAAAAAGAATTTTTTTTTTTTTTTAAAAATTAGCCGTTAGGCCCGGACCGGGCCCAGCCCGGCCGGGCCGGTTCAAGAAAATAAAGGCCCGGGCCCGGACCGTCCTACACCCGGGCCGGGTAGGCCCGAACCGCCTGTGGCCCGGTGGACCGGGTCGGGCCGGTTGCTACAGTGAGCGGGCCGGGTCGGGCCCGGTTCGGTCCGCCCGGCCCGAGTCCAGGACTGTAGTAGTGTTGTAGTGATTAAGAGAAAGAAAACCAATATGAAGGAAAAATAAAATAAGAGTGAGAGAGATTTCCCTTCCTAACAATATTTAGCATCCAAGAATACGTAAATTTCTATAAATGGAGAAGATAATTAAGTTTAAAACAACTACAATATCGAACCTACTCATTCCTTTACTAAATTGGAATGTACGAAGTATGTATTAATTGCAAATGATGATAAAAAAAACTGACAAAAAGGATGTTGTGAAGATGCCCTCTCTTACTCACTCGATCATCTTAGCACAAAGTATATTTTGAATGGTTCAAATTTGTTCTCAATTCCAGTGGTGGACTCGGCCCGGGTGGCCCGACCTGGAACTGGACTGTTTGGAACCGGCCTGATGTAAGAATGTGATCAATGCAACAGAAATACAAGACTAGACCAGTGTTAACATAAAACTAGAACTTATATGTTAAATCATTTAAAACCTCACCATTCATCCTAGCTTGGTGGAACGTGTAGGTAATTGCCTGCCTTTACTCCTAACAATCAGTTTCTAACTAAAACAGATATCCCTACGAATTAGAAAAACTGCACACTTCGTCAAATAGAAGGGGTCACAAATAGATCTGTATAATTCAAGGGGATCGAATCAAATATTGAATGTGAAAAATGGAGGATGAAATACCTGGATATGTAGTAGAAGAGCTCGCCTAAACTAAATCAAATCGCCGGCTTCGTTTTTCGTTGGTCGAGCGGCGGAGGATGAAACACCCGTTTGGAGCGGAAGAGATCGATGGCCCTGATAGATCAGGTCGGCGGCTCTAGACAAAGATGGAAGAAGAAAGACATCGTTTTTTTTTTTACAAATGGAGCTCTGGACCTGGCAGAGAGCGCCGTACCTGTAGTCCTGGATAGTGGATACAGGATGGATCGATTTCAGTAAATCGATTACATTTCATCGGTTAACGGTGAACCGACCGTGGGATTTTTTTCCATTTCATCGGTTAACTGAACCGTAATTTTGTTTTAAAAATGGTACGGTTAACCGAAAAATTGACGGTTATACGGTTTTTTAGACGGTTACACGATTACGGTTTTTTGTACCCACCCCTAGTGATAGCCTTATATGCTGATTTATATGCGAAAATCCCATCTGAGGTGTGCTTCCACTTGAGAGTGGCGCCTCCCCGATCAACCATAGTCTCTGCCTCCTCCGAGATATGGCATATAGCCTTCCAGCCGTTCCAGGTTGGAGAATCCATTGATTTTGCCTCCCCCAAAGCTCTACCCCCGTATTTTTTCCTCATTAGAGCAGCCCAATTCGAATCCCCTGCTTGGTACTCCCACCATATTTTTAGGGCTGTCACTTTCTGTGAGTGAATAAAAGACGTGATACCCACCCCTCCTACTTCAGTAGGTCTACACATTTTTTATATAAAGAAATCCAATGCTGTTTAGGTTTATTTTCCATGAAGCCCCAAAAGAAATTAGAAATTTTCTTATTTATAACAGCCTGAGGGATACATGTGACCGCAAGAATATGCAAAGGGATGGAGCACAACACATGTTTTTATCAAAATGAGCCTCCCACCTTGGGAGAGCATTTTCTGACCCCACGAGCTTAGCTTGTTGTCAAAAGCCTGAAGAATATCTATACAATGGCCCAACCGGCTAATACCCTTGTGAACATGCACCCCTAAGTACTTAAAAGGCAAAGATGTAGCCTTCATACCCAGTTCATGTTTAATATTAGCCATTCTGCCTGCTGAGGTGTGCTTGCCAGCCACAAAACAACTCTTGTCTTTATTTATAAGTTGCCCAGTCGCTTGTTGATATACTTGGATAAGTTTATTAAAACTGCGAATAGAGCTAACTGAACCATTTAGAATTATAAGCAAGTCATCCGCGAACGCTAGATGAGACATAGATGGAGAACGTCCCAAATTGTAAGCTCCAATTTTTCCTTTAGCCATCAAATGATTTAATCCCCTAGAGAAAGCCTCGGACATTATAATGAATAGGATAGGAGATAACGGATCCCCTTGTTTGACACCTCGATGAGGCTGAAAATATCCGTAGGAAGCCCCATTAATTATAATAGAAATGTGCGTTGCCCTGAGATTACCCATGATAATCCTCCTAAAATGTTCTAGGAATCCAAATTTATCCAGAATACCATCTAGGAAACCCCAGGCAACCCGATCAAATGCTTTAGCCATGTCAAGTTTTATAGCTATATTTGATCCACACACTTTCTTGTCTAAATGATGCAGAACCTCCAATGCCGATAGAACTTGGTATTGTATTTCCTTACCCTTCATAAAACTGGCTTGTTCTGTAGAGATAAGTTGAGGTAAAATAGAAGCCATACGGGTAGTAAGAATTCTAGTATTCACCTTACTAAGAAAAGTGGAGAGTCATATCGGTCTGAAATCCCTGAAATGAGAAGGGTTTTTCTTTTTAGGGATTAAGACCATATTTACACTACTGATACCTTTTGGTACAACCATACCCAAGAAGAAATCCCGAACAGCTAATAGCACGTCATGCTTAATGATTTCCCAGTGTTAAATGTCCCACACCGGAAACGTTTGGATGAACAAAGTGCTATATTAACACACGGGCTACTCCCCCTATCAGGTTGACCTTTTAGGATGGAACCCCGTGTCTTAACATGGTATCAGAGCCAAATCGATCCATGGTGTGGGGCCCCTTATGAAAATGATGACACGATTATAAAAATGGCCGGATGAAAAAAAAAACGGGCCGATGAAAAAAAAAATGAATGATTGCACGATCCAGACGAAGTGTCTGGTCGTGAGGAGGGGTGTTAAATGTCCCACACCGGAAACGTTTGGATGAACAAAATGCTATATTAACACACGGGCTACTCCTCCTATCAGGTTGACCTTTTAGGATGGAACTCCATGTCTTAACACCCAGCATCCTTTATAGAAAGAGCCTCCAAAACCATTCGGTCCCGGCGCTGCCTCCTCACTAAGACCCCAAACCGCCTCTCTAACCTCCTGCTCGTTGGGCATTTTAATTAATTCGATGTTCTGATCCTCCGACACAATACTAGGGATGCAGTCCAAAATTTTTTCATACCCATATGTGTGTTCATAACTGAATAAATCCTTAAAGAAGGTCACAACTTCCTCCCCAATCTCATTTGCATTATAAATCCACTCTCCTGCGGAATTTTTAATGGCGCAAATAAATTATTTTCTCTTCTTGTCTTTTACCGCTGCATGAAAAAATTTAGAGTTGGCATCCCCTTCCCGAATCCAATTTACTCTAGTCTTCTGTTTCCAATACATATCCCGTTGTTTAATTCTTTTTAGCAGGAGAGCTTGTTTATAATGACATTGCGATCTGTTGTCCTCCGAAGGGTTGTTCTCAAAGTTCTTCTCCGCCTCAATAGACTCCAGCTCTACTCTCTTAATGTCTTTAAATACATCTCCAAAAACATTTTTATTCCGGACCTTTAAATCCGCCTTAAGAGCCTTCAACTTCAAAACCATCCCTCTCATACCCCCTGTGAAAGAATTATTGTATATAAGAATATGCTTTAGGAATATACTCTAGACATTATTATAGTATAGCATCTTATGTAGGAATATTCTATATAAGAATATGCTTTAGGAATATACTCTAGACATTATTATAGTATAGCATCTTATGTAGGAATATTCCTTCTTTGTAACCTATATATAGGGTCTTAACCCTCTTATATTAAACACACAAAATTCTTCCATTCTCATTACTACTATATGCTTAATTCTGATAACATGGTATCAGAGCATTAGGAAAGATTTAGTTCCTTTTTCTTTTAAATTTCAGCTTAGTTTTTCAGACTGGGTTCTTTCTCAAAGAAACCTGATTTCAGCTCAGACTCTCCAGAACCTCTAGGCACCATTCTGTCTCCCAGAAACTCACTCCAGGACAGATTTTTTTTTTAGCCCCCCTCTATTCAGAACCTTTGTGCAGACCATATCCCCCATCTGTGCCAGGTGCTCGCAGTCTGCAGTTCCAAATCAGCACCCAAGTCAGACGTGCCTCTGGATTTTTATTCCAGCCCAAAACGGGCTGCTGTAAGTTTTCATTAAATTAAATATCTCAATTTTGAATTTTATTACAGTTTCAAAAAAAAAAAAAAAAAAAAAGAAAAAGAAAAAAAAAATGCCTGGTTCTGACACCTCCACTGTAACACAAAGTCAGCCTTTGATAGTTTCTGAAGTTATTCCCATTAATTTTAAAATTACTGAGAATAAACTTTGTGGCTCTAATTATCTTGAATGGAGTAAAACTATCAAACGCTATTTAAGGAGCATTGATAAATATACTCACTTAGTTGATGACCCGCCAAAGGAGGAGGTTGATAGAGTTGCTAATACTGCCTGGCTTCGTGACGATTCTAGATTATTTATCCAAATTCAAAACTCAATGGAGAATGAGGTAATGGGGTATGTTAGTCATTGCGATACTGTGAAAGAATTGTTTGATTATTTGGAATTTATGTACTCTGGAAAAGGTAATCTTAACCACATCTATGAGGTGTGCAAAGCCTTTTACAGAGCGGAAATGAAAGATAAGCCTCTCACGGCTTATTTTATGGATTTCAAGAAAACCTATGAAGAGCTGAATACATTAATGCCATTTAGTCCTGATATCAAAGTGCAGCAAAAACAAAGAGAACAAATGGCAGTGATGAGTTTTTTGGCTGGTCTAACATCTGAATTTGAAACAGCCAAATCACATATCTTATCTAGTGATGAGGTCTCTTCTCTTCAAGAATCTTTCACTAGAGTGCTTCGCACCGATACTTCATCCACGCCAGTAGCACCTCAGTCAAACAGTGCATTTGTAGGGCAAGTTCCAACGTTTACCCAAGGAGGTGAGAAATGGCCACGTACTGGTCCATCTGGCAAAGGCATAGTATGCAACTACTGTAAGAAGCCTGGACACTTGATCAAAGATTGTAGAAAATTAAAATTCAAAAATCAAGGAAATCAAGTTGCTCACATTGCTTCCGCTACAAAGTCTTCTGATGGATCAATCAGTATGTCTTCTGAGGAATACGCCAAATTTCTTTGCTACCAAGAGACTCTAAAGCATTCATCTACTCCTATCTCAGCTGTCGCTAATTCAGGTAATCCAAACACATGTCTTGTTTCTTCATCCTCAAAATGGGTCATCGACTCAGGAGCAACCGATCATATGACAGGTAATCCTAATCTTTTTTCTTCATTCCACACACCTCTTCATACTTCTACTGTCACTTTAGCTGATGGGTCTACCTCCCCAGTCTTAGGATCGGGAACAATTGTCCCAACATCCACCTTACCTTTGTCACCTGTCCTAAGTCTTCCAAACTTTGCTTTTAATTTGATTTCGATCAGTAAAATCACGCGTAAACTAAACTGTTCTGTAACCTTTTTTCCTGGATATTGTGTATTTCAGGATCTGTTGACGAATCAGATTATTGGTAAAGGATATGAGTCGGCTGGTCTCTATCTTTTGGACACATCCTTACCTAAAACCATCTCCTGTCTTGGGGTTGGATCTGTGTTAGAGGCTCACTATCGACTAGGACATCCATCTCTCCCTTTGTTGAAGAAAATTCATCCTCAATTTAATAAGGTGTCGTCTTTACAGTGTGATTCGTGTCAATTTGCAAAACATCATCGTACTAGTTTAAGCCCTCGAGTCAATAAACGAGCACATGCTCCTTTTGAACTTGTTCATTCTGATGTTTGGGGAGCTTGCCCCGTTGTGTCTAAAATTGGCTTTAAATATTTTGTTACCTTTGTTGATGATTACTCTCGTATGACTTGGATTTACTTTATGAAACGGCGTTCTGAGTTGTTTTCTCATTTTTGTGCCTTTTGTGCTGAAATAAAAACTCAATTTAATGTTCCTGTTCGTGTTTTAAGAGGAGACAATGCTCAAGAGTATTTGTCTGCCTCGTTTAAGTTGTATATGGCTCAACATGGCATAATTCATCAAACTTCATGTGTAGACACGCCTCCTCAAAATGGTGTGGCTGAACGAAAGAACAGACATCTTTTAGAAACTGCGCGTGCGCTTCTTTTCCAAATGAATGTGCCTAAACATTTTTGGGCGGATGCTGTGTCTACCGCATGTTTTTTGATCAATCGAATGCCATCTACTGTTTTGGACGGTAAAACTCCGTATCAGTGCCTATTTCCAAATAATGAACTTTTTCCTATACCGCCTAAAATATTTGGTTGCACTTGTTTTGTTCGCAATGTTAATCCTCATTTAACAAAGTTAGATCCCAAGTCATTAAAGTGCATTTTCTTAGGTTATTCTCGAGTTCAAAAGGGGTACAAATGTTTTTGTCCAAGTACAGGTCGATATATTGTTTCGATTGATGTCTCATTTTATGAGAATACACCTTATTCATCTCCAGAGGCAGATATTTGTAGGGAGAATGATGATATACTCATTTACACAGTCACCATACCTGAGTCCACTGCTTCGGAAATTACTCCACATCCTACTGTTTCCGACCCCAGGCCTCCAATACAATTGGTATACACACGTCGACACAAAGCACCAGATCTTCCCCCGCCTGTGATTCCTTATCCTGATATTGATCCGATCTCGACCTCATGTCCTGAACCAATAACTGCATCTCCAGATCCTGTCTGTACATTAGATCTTGACCTCCCGATAGCACTGCGCAAAGGTACACGATCTTGTACTCATCCTATTTCTTCTTTTGTGTCGTACAATCAGTTATCATCTACCTCATGCTCTTTTATTGCCTCCATTGATTCTATTTCTATTCCCAAATCTGTTAAAGAAGCTTTGGCTCATCCGGAATGGCCTCTTGCCATGATAGAAGAAATGAATGCTTTGGATCTTAATGGTACATGGGATTTGGTATACTTGCCTACAGGGAAGAAATCTATTGGATGTAAGTGGGTCTTTGCTGTGAAGGTCAATCCAGATGGATCTATTGCTCGGTTGAAAGCTCGATTAGTTGCGAAGGGTTATGCTCAAACCTACGGTGTAGATTATTCTGACACTTTTTCTCCTGTTGCTAAATTAACATCTGTCAGGTTACTTATTTCACTCGCAGCAACTCATGGTTGGCACTTGCATCAGTTAGACATTAAAAATGCATTCTTGCATGGTGACCTTCAGGAGGAAGTTTATATCGAGCAACCTCCAGGGTTTGTTGCTCAGGGGGAGTATGGGAAAGTTTGTCGACTTCGCAAGTCTCTTTATGGTTTGAAACAAAGTCCGCGTGCATGGTTTGGGAAATTCAGTCAAACAATTGAACAGTTTGGAATGAAAAAAGGACAATCAGATCACTCTGTCTTTTACAGACAAACGCAAGCAGGTATCACATTGCTTGTGGTGTATGTTGATGATATTGTGATTACAGGGAGTGATAATGCAGGTATCTTGGCCCTAAAGAATTTTCTGCACAGCCAATTCCAGACGAAAGATCTTGGCTCATTGAAATATTTTTTGGGAATTGAGGTAACACGAAGTAAGAAAGGCATATTTCTATCTCAACGAAAATATGTACTTGACTTACTAGCTGAGACCGGGAAATTAGGGGCAAAACCAAGTACAACACCCATGGTTCCCAACGTTCAACTCACTCAAGAAGGCACACCGTTTGAAGACCCAGAAAGATATAGAAGACTGGTTGGAAAGCTTAATTATCTCGCAGTCACTCGCCCAGATATTGCGTATTCTGTGAGTGTAGTGAGTCAATACATGTCATCCCCAACCATTGATCATTGGGCTGCTGTAGAACACATATTATGTTACTTAAAGGGTGCACCAGGACGAGGTATTGTTTATCAAAACCATGATCACATGAGAATAGAGTGTTTTGCAGATGCTGATTGGGCCGGTTCTAAAGATGATCGAAGATCTACATCTGGTTATTGCGTCTTTGTTGGTGGTAATCTTGTATCTTGGAAGAGTAAGAAACAGAATGTGGTTTCTCGTTCGAGTGCTGAATCAGAATATCGAGCTATGGCACAATCTGCATGTGAGATCATATGGATAAGCCATTTATTGACTGAACTCGGATTGAAGACATCAATGCCTGCTAAATTGTGGTGTGATAACCAAGCTGCTATACACATAGCAAACGATCCCGTATTTCACGAGAGAACAAAGCATATTGAAGTTGATTGTCATTTTATTCGAGAGAAGATACAAAAAGGATTGATCTCTACCGAATATGTGAAGACTGGAGAACAACTTGGAGATTTATTCACCAAAGCTCTAAATGGGATTCGTGTTGATTACTTATGTAACAAGTTGGGCATGATAAATATCTATGCTCCAACTTGAGGGGAAGTGTGAAAGAATTATTGTATATAAGAATATGCTTTAGGAATATACTCTAGACATTATTATAGTATAGCATCTTATGTAGGAATATTCTATATAAGAATATGCTTTAGGAATATACTCTAGACATTATTATAGTATAGCATCTTATGTAGGAATATTCCTTCTTTGTAACCTATATATAGGGTCTTAACCCTCTTATATTAAACACACAAAATTCTTCCATTCCTCATTACTACTATATGCTTAATTCTGATAACACCCCCGGGATCGTAGGATATTCACGAAGGAAAGAAAATCTTCATTCGTAAACCACATGTTTTGGAATCAAAACTGAGCCGGACCTCTAATCAGTTGAGTCTCACAAATGAGGAGAATGGGGCAATGATCGGATGGCATTTTACTCAAATGATGAACATTTACATTATCAAAAGCATCCAAAAATTCCTGATCCACCAAAAACCTGTCCAATCTTTCCCAAATCCGCCCATTAGCCCGAACTCCAGTCCAAGTATAGGAAGAACCAACTATAGGAGGCTGCATAAGATGACAATACTCCATACAATTTCTGAAATCCCTCATGTCAGCCGCACGGGGAACAGATGGCCCCTTATAATCAGCAACAACGTTGAAATCCCCTCCCAGAAGCCACGGTCCCCAAACAGCTTCTGCAAACCCCCTCATCCCGTTCCATAACTGCTCTCTTTCCGTCCTAGTATGTTTTCCATAAACAGGGAAATAGGTGAATACAAAATCCAGGGGATAAACTTCATAGTAAAATAATTTGAGAATCCTAGACTGGTAGAATAAAAACCTCCATTTGAAGAATTAATAATAGGCTCGATGATAGTAATCCCTAAAATTTAGCAAATGCTGCCTAACAATTTTGCGTAGTCTTGGACAAGCAGAAACAAGACCACGCACATTCCAACTTATGGAAACCTCTAGGGTATTATCCCCATTGTTCCTCTTGGCCTCCAACCGATCGAGGAGGAGCCTCTTTGGGTTTTCTCCGTCCCATCACTTGCAGTGCTTGTGCTTGTTCCTTCTCGATCAATTCCACCTTCTTTCTGAGCTCCGCACAAACTGATCTCCAAGACTCAACCGTAGAGTCCTCCAAATTGATTTGCTCCCCATCCGAAACAACTCCATCCATAATGATATGCTCCTCACTTCCTTGCACATTGCCTTCTTCAAAAGATATTAATTTGGTAACATTGGTTGTTACCTCCCCTACCCCCCCTTCATCTGTAACTGGGTGTGTATCATTATTGACCTCCTCAATAACTTCCTCTTCAGCCATTACTCCTTCCTTCACTAATTCAGACACTCCCACCTCAAGCTTCTCCTGGCTGGGAGGCTCCCCTCCCAATATTTCCGTAGTCCCGTCCTTCCCACTATGTTCAGACACTTTTCACAAATTCATTATATTATAGAGATCTTTTTAGAAATAATATTTGATTACTCATAAGTCTATCTTGTTTGTATGCATTGAATTGGAAGTCCACAATAGTAACCAAATTTAAGTATATTTATTTTTTTTGAGTCAGTTACATATTATAAAGATATTATTCAAACGGGATAAATTTCTCTCTAATATGTAGTAGCTGGTGCATATATAGTTCTTTTAAGTATAGGATAAGTCAAATAACAATTGAACGAGATAATTTTATCTCTCATTTGTATTGTTTTTAGGTACAAGAAGCTATGAAGATAAACTTGCTAACAATTTAGCAACAGAATATTCTTTCTCATATGTAGTGTTTTTAGTATAATATAAAATAATCCAGATAACAATTGAACGAAAGAACTTTCTCTCTGATATATAGTTCTTTTAAGTACTCCGTATAAAATAAGCCGGCTAACAATTGAGCGTGAGGACTTTCTCTTAAATGTAAGAGTTTTAGGTGCAAGAAGACAATACTACTAATAATTGAACGGAAGAATTTTCTCTTTCATATGTAATGCTTTAAGATATTAGAAAATAAGTTGCTAACAATTGACCGAGATAATTTTTTCTCTTATATGTAGGGTTTTTAGGTATTAGAAGACAAGTTTTCAAACAATTAAGTTGGATAACTTTCTCTCTCATACATAGTTCTTTTAACTCTAAAATAAGACAACTAACAATTGAACGAGATAATTTTTTGATTTTTTCTCTCATATGTAGTGTTTTATGTATAAGAAGCTAAGAAGATAAGCTTGCTAACAATTGGGTGGGAGAAATTTCTCTCTCATATGTAGTTCTTTTTAAGTATCAGATAATTCTGCTAACAATTGATGAGAAAAATTTTCTCTCCCATATGTAATGTTTTTAGGTATAACGTAAACTGACTAACAATTGAATATGAGATTTCTCTCTCTCATATGTAGTTTTTTTTATAGGTGATTCACACCAATAATCTGTACTTTGAGCTGTTTTACAATAATAATCCATACTAAAGAAATTGATATAAATACTCCCTACGTACCATAAAACTTGGCTATATTGACTTTTCTTGGTCAATGATTTCCAAGTTTGACCCTTTAAATTTTATAATATATAATTATTTCAAATATGAAAATTATATAAAAATGTTCCGAAGTTTATTATGGTTGACCAAGAAAAGTGACCATGTTTTGTGAAAAGGAGTTAATGTTTCTGTTTTATATATCCTCATCCCATCTACCCCACCCATCAGCAGGGACGGAGCCCGGTGTTGGCTTATGGTGTCAAATGACACCACTCAAATTATATATTTAGTGTATATATATGTATATATAAATTTAAAGTGTAAAAATGACACCACTCAAACTATATATTTATTGTATATATATGTATATAGATTGAAAGTGTTAAAATGACACCACTAATTTTTTATAGTGTCAATATGTATATCATATACTCCCCTATCTCAAAAGTTTTTTAATGAATAATGTTAATAATACTACGTATTTACTAAGAAACTAAAACAATAATATAATACTGCTAATTAATTCAAAATTCACATTATTTTTACTCTCACTTAGAGTAAGAGTAGCGATCCTATCGGACCGGCCGATCGAGGTCATTCGGGGGGCTTCCTGGTGGAATTCTTTTGATGACTTTCTTTGAGCATATTTTTCATCAAGTCTGTTTTATGTCAATCAAATTGCAATTTAAAGTTCAACCGGGAAGGCAGTTAATAACTAAATTCTTTACAAAAATTGCATTGTTCATACACATAATTGATATAAAGCACAATTTTTGTAAAGAATTTATTTAACTATTTTCCCGGTTGACATTTTAATTGAAATTTGATGGGTATATAAACTAAACTTAATGAAGAACATGTTCAAAAATTTCATTGGGTAGGGCCCCAAATAGCCTCCGCTTGACGGAGGTTCTTGTTAGGCCGGTCTGATATGATCTGCGTTCCTTAAGGTAATTTTCGTTAGTATATTATTTTGACACCACTGACATTACATCCTGGCTCCGTCCCTGCCCATCAGTTTTCTTCTTCTGCGAATACCCATGTTCCTCATCGGCTGTCTTATCTTTGTTTTTTTCTTTCAATTTTCCATATATACCAAACACTTTACAAAGTATTTTTTTCCATATCATGCTATAATCATTGCCAGCAATTCACTTCATCTCCTAGATTTAACCTATGGATTTGGTTAGCCGTGCTCCTCTTCCTTCTCACATGGCCGTATTCTTCTTCTTCTCTTTTGTAAATATTAAACTATATGATTGGTAAAATCCCTAATTTTAAAGGCGAAGAACTTCTAAATTTAGAGGAGCGCGTGAGCTTATTTAGTCCCAATACAAAAAAAAGTAAAAGACCAGCTCCCAAAAGTAAAATTGAATCTCATGAAATTGCAATATTCTCAATTAGATTCTTCATGCCCCTACTGGACAAGTAAAAAGATAGGTGTAGCACAAAGCTCAACCAATTGAAGTATAAAGCACAAAATCAAGCGTTTGATGATGATGGAAAAAATCTGTTGAAAGAGGTTAGTGTTAGAGTGAGTGACGGGGATGAGTATATGCAGAAGAAGAAGAAAAAGAACGGTCCACGGTGAGTCGGTGATGAAGTAAATCAAACAAACCGTTACCTACTTACCTCCTTTTTATTTAGTCTATTTATGTGAAGCTATTTATAAGTTTGGATTATTTGTTGCATTTTTGCGATTATTGTAGTACACATTATTGGTATGAATTTTTGCTCTTTTATATAACAAGACACAGAAAATGGATTAATAGTGACGAAAATTAGTGAGAGTAACAAAATCCTCTCATTAAATGTGTATCTAATCTTACCTTTTATGAGGGTAAAAAAACTTTCGTCGTTAAAGCTCAAGCAATTTTTTCATTCCTAAATGTGTATAAGAATGTTCTTTCTTATTGAGAGTTTATCTCATTAAATGTATGCAAATTTGCTACAATTTTGATTACTACACCAAATCAACTACGATGATCAAACACTAATTAATGATAAAAATATTAAAATTTTATTAATGTGGAACAAATAGTAATTATATTTCATGAATTGTGTGAAATTGTGTTTTTGAGTAATGAGAGGCAAGTAGTGGTATTAATGAGAGGATTTATGGTAACTAGAAGTTGCTTCTAATGACGGTATATTTACTCTCATTATAGCTTATTAATGACTGGACTCCTTTCCCGTCATTAAAAACTTTTAACTACGGAAGCAGTAATGAGAGGTCATGATAAGATATTTTCCATCACAAAATGTCTTCTATGACGGGATATGGACTTTTAACCACATTATTTCCCCTCATTATAGGCAAACTTTCTTGTAGTGACAAACTTGCTAATTATTCAATGGGTGAATTTTCTCTCTCACATGTAGTGTTTTTGGGTATTAGAAGATAAGTTTGCTAGCAGTTGAGCGGGGAATGATAAAATAACAATTGAGCGGGGGAATTCATATATAGGTAGTTATTTTAAGTACAAGATAGACCTGCTAACAATTAAGTTGTAGATTTTTTTTCTCTCATTTGTAGTGCATTTAGGTATAAAGATAATCCAACTAAAAATTGAGCGAGAGAATTTTCTCTCATTTTTTAGGCATAAGATAAACAGTTGAGAATTTGTCAAAATAATTTTCTCTCTCATATGGTAACACTAATTTAACTGATGAGTAGCAACTTCTGTTTAACTAATATTATTCATTAATTTTAATATTTATTGTACTCACTTAAAATTTATGTCACTCACCTATTGTTCTCACTTTTATTGTACTCACTTAAAATTTATGTCACTAATTTAACTGATGAGTAGCAACTTCTGTTTAACTAATATTATTCTTTAATTTTAATATTTATTGTACTCACCTAAAATTTATGTCACTCACCTATTGTTCTCACTTTTTAAGAATAATATTTAATTTTAAATTTAATTTAATCATGAAAATTAATAAGTAGCAAATTAATGAATGGTGTCAATTGATTTTTCCTAATATACTCTTCATTGAATATGCATTCAATGGACTTATATTCTATGGTATTAGCCTATTGTACTCTTATTTTTCAAAAATGTTGAATTCTACAAAGTATTTTTATTTTAATATTAATTAAATTGTGAGTAAAAATATATGCATCAAATGTTCTTTCCCGTGCGTATGAACGGGTACTATACTAGTTAGTTGATTAAAGATTAATGAAACTCAAGTGTAGCACCACCGAGTTCCGATCGTTCAACTTGTAGCCTAAGAAGAATTTTACTACCCTGCAACAACCAAACAAGCTAACAACATATTTTGAGGTCTAGCCTGTGCTTACGCTCCTTATACGGTAGATCCGCCCTTGGTTTTGACCCCCCACCTCAAAATTACCGAAACCCCACCCACAACACCATTATAGCCCTTGCAAGGGCTATACTTGACCGTTGGGATCGAATTGGGACCGCCCAGTCTGGTCCCTATTTTTGTAACCTAAGTCGGACCCACCAGCACTAATTCCGGTCCAGGTCCAAGACTGCCCGTGAGGACCACGGTATACGAACTAAATGTTAGGCAGTTCGTATACCGTGGTATCACCCCACGGTGAGCACCGTGCTCCCACACCCAAAACGACATAGTTTTATATATATTTTTTTTTAAAAAATTCGCGTGAACAGTGAGGCGTGAACAATACACGCATGTACAATAACTGTTTTTTTGTCCGAGTAGTATAAATGATGTAACTCGCGTGTAAAGAAATGTAACCCACGTTATTGATTTATATAACTCAAGTCCAGTCGAAATGTAACTTGTCAAGTACATAAAAAAACGCGGGTGAACAGTGACTGTGAATTCTCCCCAATTAATTTCGTGATGTAAATCCTTTGTAATGAAATGTATCTCACATAATTACACATGTAACTTTAGTGAGCGGCAAATGTAAACCACTTGTTATGATATGTAACTTTACGTAAATTGAAATGTAATTCGAGGGTATAAGAAATGTAACTTGAGGAAAATAAAAAATGTAAATCACTTTAATTGAAATGTAATTTATGGTAAATCAAAAATGTAAATTGTCTTAATTCAAATGTAACTTATACTAAATCGAAATATAAATTGTTTTAATAAAAAATGTAACTTTAGCCCAAATAAAAATATATCTATCTAATGCTCTGTATATATATGTTTTATAGTGCTCTTATATTGATTTAATAGACTAAGGTCCCAAGAAGTAAATACTACCAAGTATCTTTGATGGATTTCATGGAATTAAAGCCAGGCATCTAGTTGGAGTTTCCAACCGTCAAAGGTTAACCAATTTCGATGTACAATAAGAAACGAAGCACACACGATTAACGAGGCCTACTATTCTGATGCGGCTCTCCCAGATGCAGATCGAGCATAGTTTTTTTTTTTTGTGTGTCCACGTATCCAACCACAATTAGTTTGTGATATACTTCATATTCAATTTCACTTGTTCAAAGTCACCCATTACCACTTCATTAAGTTCGTAACCAAGTGAAAACAAATATTAGTAATACTAAGTACTTCGTATTAGCTATTCACTCAAACGAGAGTGAATAAATAATGACTACACAAGTGTGATACATACTTATCTAAAATCTAATCTAAATAAAATGTTATAAACATCAATGAGGGTTAGGATATTTTTGACATATTAAATGTGTTGGTGTAACACAAAACAACATGCTCTTGTACATTATGCTCCAATCATTATACCATATATTTATACCCGGCTAAATGGTCAAATAGGTACATGAACTAACTTAAAGTGTTCAATTAGCCCCTTATATAGGAGGTTCTGCCCGGCCGTCGCCAATTGACGCGATTCCCGGTGGAATTTTTTGATGAATTTTTTTAGCAACTTCTTCATTAAGTCTAGTTTACCCATACCAAATTTCAGCTAAAAATTCATCCGGGAAGGCAGTCAAATGATTTTTTGAAGATAACTGCGCAGTTAAATAGCGCAGTACATTTCGGAAAATCAATTGACTGCCTTCCCGATTTAATTTTTAGATGAAATTTGATATGAGTAAACTAGACTTGATGAAGAAGATGCTCAAAAAATGTTATCAAAAAATTCAACTGTGAACTGCCCCAATTGGCGATGGCCGGGCAGAACCTCCTATATAAGGGGCTAATTGAACACTTTAAGTTAGTTCATGTACCTATTTGACACTTTAGCCATTTATACAATTATACCCATGTTTTCCTCCGTTAAAGTCCGTCAAAGTCCAAGCGTTTAGACTTTTGCCATCTCTGCAACGACTTCAGTTGTTCCTTCCGTCTAAGATTTTTTTTTTCATTTAATAGTTTGCTTTTAATTTTAATTTAATTTGGAATTTAGATTCATTTCTAGGGTGTCCGAATTGAAACAGCTATAGCCTAGATCTGATCGAGTCGTAAGAACGAAGACTATTTAATTTAATTTGGATTTTTCTCATCATAACCAATATTTCAATCAAATAATATTGTAATACATGGCGGTAATTCACATTTCCCCATTTAATTTTGTGTCATTATTTATACTCCCATTAATGTAAATGGCATGATTTAATTTGCTGGTCTGATCTGATTTGATCTGATTTGGTCTGGTCTGAACTGGTCTGAACTGGTTTGGTCTGGTCTGATCTGGTAATGTCTGGTCTCTTTGTATTTTTATAACTATCCAAGTCTGGTCTGAACTGGTCTGGTCTGGTCTGATTTGCACTGATCTGGTCTGATCTGGGACGAATTACAGTCCAAGTAAAAACATCCTAAGTAGCGGACATTCTATTTATTCTCTCACAAATACAATCAATAACATAAACCTAACAAATTAGGTAATTTATATACAGAATTTTTCTATCCAAACAGATTTTGAAATTATCAATCTAGGACCTAAAATATCATGAATTTTATATACCGTCACGTTCATCTTTCAAGCCTCACATTGATAATTAATCTATCTTTCAGGCCCTAGATTGATGAAATTTCAAAGGGTTAAAACAACTCGAAGAAGTCTCACATTGATAATTAATCTATCTTTCAGGTCTTAGACTGATGAAATTTCAAAGGGTTAAAACAACTCGAAGTTTAATTCGATAGCTATGTTTTATTAAAGAACTACTACCTAATAAATATGAATGAGAGTAGGCGCTTATGTGAAATATACGTTTGTACATGTTGTGCCAGTAATGCATCACGTTGTTTTTATCGTTGCCTCCCATTCCATGTTTCTCTGCTAAGTGATTTGGAGTTACTTTTCAGACTTAATTGGCTCAAGTTGAAACAAATGGGGATAGGAACCCAACTTGTGTGATTAGAGATCTCATGAAGCAAGTTCAAATGGGTAATAACAAGTTTTCCATTTAGTTCTGCCGGTCTAACTAAAATTGTCCATTACCATGATGTGAGATATATGCTAGAAGCCGCATTCTTTGAGAGGGTGAGCTAAAAGCTCTTAATGATTATCATAGCCCTTAATTTAAGGATGATGTGCAAAAGCGATACACACTTGATGATATCACCTATATGAGCGTGAGGTAGGGCCGCCTTCATGAAGCATGACAAAACTTCTAGAGCACTTATGAAAACCAGTAAATGACTTTTTACCTACTTTATTGATAAATATATTTTAAATATAACATTTCATAAATCATCAGAACCAGTAAATCCAGCCACTTTAACAAGAACATCATAAATCTCAATAGAATAAGACGATTAAACCAATTTTAACGTTATCAAACAGGCTCTTAATCTATATTCTTTCTATATTCAAAGAATCACCCTAAAATCACAACACAATGGATACACACCGTGTAAAAGTAAACTCTTTAATATTTGATAAAACAACGTAGACAAATGTGGTGGGTTTGTGAAAAACACAATTTCACAAAAAACAAGGAAAAAGTGTATTGAGCGAGCACGAGAAGAGGGTGAGAACAGAAGCAAGGAGAGTGAATTTTGATGTTAACGCGCAACAGAAGTGTATTCATCTTATTTTCTATCCTTTTACACTTTATGTTTTCATAGGTAATTTTCAACTTTGTGCCCAACAAAATTAAGAAACATAAAATGGTATAGAGGGGTCGAGGTAGTACTATTTACAGATGAACATTTGACAAATAGAATAACTTGTGTTCACCTAAAAGTGGCATGACTGTTCACAATGCAGAATAATACAATGGCTATTTAAAGTTTAGTCACAGATGTTAATTATTGAGGATTTGTAACTAATAGTTAAATGATCTTCTTGTTCAATCAACCAAGCATTCCAGCTCAACTGGTTGTGAGGTTACCGTGCCTAGTAGGAGGTCTTGAGTTCGAATCCCGCTAGGCACACAAGGGTGTGAAACTCAATGGAGTGGGTTTCAGCCCTGATTACTCCAGGCTCTCCCCAGCCCCCCTCCCCCAGACACGCCCTGGAGTAAAAAAAAAGAAGATCTTCTTGTTCAATCCTACATCCAAAAAATTGGTGGTGATTTGTGAAGTTGTTTGAATAGAACCAAACATATCAAATACAACAATTAATACTTAATAAGTCCCTTTTTTTCTCTTGAACAATAAAAATACTTATTTTGCATATTAGTGAATCTTATATTTCTCTTGATCTTCGTTTACTATATCTTTCATTTCATATCTCGTGTATAATCGTGTGAAGGACCTCCCCCCGTATGGCCGTATTAGATCGTGTAAGATCCATCAATAGTTAGATATATACTAGATATTTCTCGTCATGCTAATGATACTTCATATTATGAAATTAGAAAAATGGGGTCTAGCACATCTGTTGGTTTGCATTTATTTTATTTTATTTTGGGTCTTCTTTCATATGAAGTAACATTAAATACTCTATTTTTAAGTTGATATAAATATTGACATTTTAAATTCTAAAAGTAATCATATCATCTCATCATACAATATGCATATTTCTCAATAAAAAGTACATTGGACATTTTATTCAATCGCGCAAAGCGCGTATTAAAAACTAGTAATGATAATAAATACGGAGTAGCTGACTGGAGTTGCAAGCATCCACTATTCATATTCGAACCGAACCAACCATCTGCCATCCTTTGTCAAGACGAATTTATATTCAATCTACCACAAACTTCCTGTTGAAATTGTACACTCAAGCTGCAAGAAAACAATCATATGATAAGAATTTAGAATGAGATAAATGCTTTAATTCATAGTAAATTCGTAAAAATTGAAAAAATCATAAACAAATAATAAAAAAATAATAAAAAATTAAAAATAAAAATTTAAAAAATATTTGAAAATAAAATTAATAAAAAAAATAAAAATCTATAAATTAATAAAAAATATATGGATGTCCTTCCCACCGCCTGTACTGCCTCCCTGCACCACCACCTCCGAGTAGTGTAAAATCAATTTTTTCTGAAAATGCCTAAAAAGTGGCGTATTACTATTTAAAAATGCCAAAATTCTCATGGAATCTGTCATAAATATGGCATTCATAATGCATGTGGCATACCCCCGCCCCCGGTGACCGTGGTGGTGTTGGATGGCAGAGGCAGCGACAATTTTTTTTTTGTTTTTTTTTTTTGCGTTTTTTAAATTCGGTTCCTTTTCCACCGCCTGTACTGCCTCCCTGCAGCACCAACTCTGATCGGTGTAAAAATCCCCATTTTTATTAAAAACGCCAAAAAAATGGCATATTAATCTTTGAGAATCCAAACAAATCATTTAATCTGCCATAATATGGCATTCATAATGCATGTGACATTTTTTTCGGTAACCATAGGCGGTGGTGCTGGGGCGGCTGAGTCGGCGGTGATTTTTCTTGTTGCCTTTTTTTTATTTTTTATTTGTTTTTAATTTCTTTAAAACATTTTTTTTAAAATTATTATTTTTAAATATTTTAAATAAATTTTTAGTATTTTTTACTAGTTTTTATTATTTTATTATGAATTAAAACATTTCAATAGCTACAAGGGCATATTTGTCCATGATACACATAATTAGTCATATAAAACATAGTTTAATTTTTTGTTCTATTTGTCCTATATAGTTTAAACTTTTGGTCCTATATGCATAATTAACTCTAAAAGTACGATCATCCAACCAGTTTATAACTTGCATCGCACATAATAACACATTGAGCACTAAATGAAAAGGCACAACCTAACCTCAGCAAAGCAATATCTTCCCTTTTTTCAAGAATATGTCTGCAAAAAATATCATTCTTGATACGATGCATTGCATCCTCAATGGCATCATCAGAAAAAGTATGTTTGTTCCTCCTCATGTCGTATTTGTTTTCGTACTCTACGATTGTTTCACGAAAATACCAATCCTGTGGAAACAAAAAGACTACAATTGTTTCACGAAAATACCAATCCTGTGGAAAGAAAAAGAGATTGAATAAGTTGAGAACATGAATTCTACTTAATGTGGCAGTTTGCCGCCCAATTAACGTTAAACCAGTGATGGATACCTGTTTGCTTTTCTCACGGAATACATCAACAGAGGCCAACCGAGGCCCCAACCCGGCATAAATTGAAAAAATGTCTATATTTTTAAAAGCGGAAGAACTTAGAGGTGACCTGCGACAGCTTAAAGGGTAGAAGGGCATAGGGTTCTGCTCTAAAACAGGTATGTTGGGGTTGGCAAAAAATAGGACTGGCGTTAAGGCGAGTCTATTTTACATCAACTGACGCGTAGGAGACTTCAAGCGAGTCTCTTCAACCTGGCACGTCTCCTCCGTCGCTGAGACCCCTAGTCCGCGCCTTCTAGGTGCCACAATCACTACTTAGGGAGTGTTTGCAACAGCTTCTGCTTTAAAAAAAGCACTTTTGGAGTGATTTGGAAAAAGTGATTATTTGTAAAAGTTGATAGTGTTTGAGAAAAAAGTGGTTTTGAAAAGTAAAAGTTGGTAGTGTTTGGTAAAATAAGTGCTTTTGGTGTATAAAAAGTGGAAAAGCACTTTTGACACGAAAGCCGAGAAAAATAAAAAATTGGTAGTGTTTGGTAAATAAGTGCTTTTTTAAGTCAAAAGCTGAGAAGTGCTTTTTTTAAAGTGGTTGCAAACCAGCCTTTAACCATCAAGTGCAGAGTGATTGTTATGTAATTCAAGCTTGTAATTCAAGAGTGATTGTGCAGTCTTTGTAACGGAGCCAAAGACTCGCTGTTTTTTTACTTTGGAATTTAATAAAGCAAAACTATTCACTAAACTGTGTTCGCTTTTTTGTTATGAAATAGCACTCAATCTATACAATTTTCGACGCGATTTTCACTGTGACTCATCCAGAAACAATCTCTATACTTTAGTACAGGGGTAAGGCTGCGTACATCTGACCCCACCCCCTTGCACAACCTTAATAATACTAATTAAGGTGCTTTGGGAGATGGAGTGCCCAAAGATGTTCCTTTTTGGCTTTTTCCCTATGGGCTTTGGCAGGGTTCTCTTCTTAGTTGTATTTCCTTTCTAGACCTAATATAGGTGTGCTGTTGTTGCCATTAAAAAGAAAGACATGAAATGAGATATAGAATGGGGAAATATTAACATGAAAAGTCTAATTAATTTTTTTAATGGCAAGTATATACTAGATAGTGGAAATAATCACTCTGTTCTATGGTATAGTATAAGATGATCGAACTACAAAAGAAGATGTACGGTACGTACGCTCATAAAGCTGCGAACGGGATCTGAATCAAAAAGATCTGGGTGGGAAATCGGGCAATCAGCAATTCTCTTGGGACTTGACATGTTTTCATCCTCAGTGCTCGCTATCTTGTTTGAAGACTGCCGGACCTGCACTTTCTTCGGCCAAACGATTTTTGGAAGATAACTGCGTTTTATATAGTAGTCTTCCGGTCAAGAATTCCTGACCAGAACCGCCGTCCGGACGGCAGCGTTTGGCCGCCTTCCGGGTGGAATTTTTCGATGAAATTTTTATGACATGTCCTTCATCAAGTCTAGTTTATCCGCAAAAAAAATTCAGCCAAAAAATCATTCGGGAAGGTCCTCAAATGATTTTTGCAAGTTTACTCGTCCGGAAAATACATATTCGGGACGAGTTAACTTGCAAAAATCATTTGGCGACCTTCCTGATTGAGTTTTTGGCTGAATTTTTTTGTGGATAAACTAGACTTGATGGAGAACATGCCATAAAAATTTCATCAAAAAATGTCACCGGGAAGGCGGCCAAACGCCACCGTCCGGACGGCGGTTCCTGTCCGGAATTCCGGACATGAATAAAATTCTATATATATATATATATATGCAAGATTTTTAACCCTGCGATTTACCCAAAAACCGAAGCTAAAAATCACATTAAAACCTTGTCCTTTGTAGAGGAGTCCAACGGAATAAAAATCACTGAAAATGATCGCGAAACAAGGGAGAACAAGTTCGCTGGACAAATCTTCACAAACAAAATCGGAGGAGGAGATGCCGCCGCCACCGCATGCCAGCCACTGCCGAACGTCTACACTGCTCATCTCGGCGTTTTTAATTCGTTATCGGCGTCTCGCTCTCGCATGCATAAGACCACCCAGCTAGGCCGGGGATAATTAGGAGTTAAATTCTAGACTTGGAGTAAAAAAAGTTCTTAAATTCAGTTCGATTCTACTTAGGCTATGTTTGCTATTGCTTAACTTCTTCTTTTTTGATAGTATTGCTTAACTTCTTTTTTTTTGCTCGAAGAAAGCTTAATTCATAAAAATGGCATCCAGCAAGAGGATAAAACTAGAAAAGAACCACAAATAACCATCCGCCCGTGGCCGAGACTGAGAGCTAACCACTTGTACAAAAGCAGTATAACTCGCTAGGCCAATGGTGGGCATAAAAGAGCTTAAGACGGTTATCGCAGCCTCTCCCTCCCCCAACCTTAATGAATTGTCTTACAAGGAAAAAAAAACATAACAGAAAAACATAACAGAGCAATCCGAATAAAACAACTTAAAACAGAAATAAATAAAAATGCCAAAGCAAGTCTTCATTCCCACAGCCCTCCATTGCAGCCACGGCGGGTCTAGAGAGTCAGGCCCGCCTCCACCCCGTTTTTTGCCCCGTCCATGACCATATCTTCACCAGTAGCACCCTTTCCAGACTGAACCTCCCATGTCCTGCGTTTTAGCTCCCCAGCCATCTCCTCCTCTTTATTGCTCTCAACTAGTGCTGGCTTGATTCCCTTAGACTCAGCCGAAAATTCTCCTCCAGAATCAGATTTCCACTGGCCCCCATACCCTTCCGAACTAGAAGCTGTTGCAGCTGTCCATTTGTAGAATCCTGTAGGACTGGTTTTCACCCTTCCTCCAGCTCGAAGCTCCACTCCATATGTTTTCTCAGCGACAAATCCTTCTTCATACTTTAACGGATAGAATTTATCAGAATGACCAATAATGCCACAGATGAAGCAGAAATTGGGTAACTTCTCATATTTGAAATCTACCCAGTGCTTAACTCCATCTTGTGTCAAGTTGGTACCTTTTTTCAAAGGTTGACGCACATCCAAAGAAACTCTAATTCTCAAATAAGAAGTCTGCCTTCCATCAAATTGGCTCATCTCAAATTTTATAAATGAACCCAAAAAATTACCAATTCTCCTAGCAGATCTCAAATTCCTATATTTTATAGGAGCATTATGGACTTGAACCCAGAAACTAGCCTCAAACAAATTCATTGATTCAGGGATGTCATCAGGCTGAACAACTTTTAGCAATATCAAATCTCGCTCAAAAAGCCAAGGACCATCCTCAATCACACGATTCATATCCAAAATATGATTAAAGATTAGCAAATACCTTTTTTCGCCAATCTCCTTAATAGTCATACCTTTGCCAGGTTTCCAAATTGAGGTCATCAGTTCCTGAAACCCTGGTAGTCTGATCTTCCTATCGGATATGACGACCCCCACCACCGGAAAGCCGCACGCCTCCTTATCCTCTTCGACGTCCTTGTCCTCCTCTGCATAAAAAATCAGCTCACTTGCTTGCTCCATCATCGTTAACTTCCTGTATGAATCCACAAACTCCTCCATACAAGCCCTCGGCCCGACGTCTGCCACTCTCCGTCCTTAACCGATCGAAGCTCGATCCTCGGTGAAACCGAGATCGGAAAACTAACCCTAGTGGCTGAAAAGCCCTAGGAGTAAAAAAACTCTTCTCGTATTGCTTAACTTCTTAAAAAGTGGTTTTGTAAAGTGATTTTTGAAAAAATGATTAATGATAAAAGTTGGGAGTGTTTTAGAATAGAAGTGATTAAAGTGAAAGAGTTAAAGTTGGAGTGTTTGGTAAAAAAGTGATTATGGAATTATATTTTTTCTGAATGTACTAAATTCGGTGCAGAGATCAACTTTTTTTTGTTTTCTTATAAAAATTCATTATCCGCTTAAAATGGACATATTTTATTTTCAATTACATAAAATATTTCAAATTTCAAATCATGAAATTATTATGACCATTACATTATACTTATCCCCTCCGTCCCATTTATATTGTCCCGTTTTACCTTTTCGGGAAGTCTCACTTAAATTGTCTCATATCATATTTGGCAAAATTTGTGTTGCTCTAAATCATTCTTACTTTATTCATACTCTATCAATTAATATTAACCACACAAACCCACTTTTCTTAATAACTGTGTCACCCTCTTCTGGGACAATATAAATGGGACGGAGGTAGTACATGATATCTCAATGTTCAAATATTACAAAAAAACTCAAGTGTAAACATTAAATTTAAACATAACAAAAACAGAAAGGTTTAATAGTTCCAAGTACACATCAAATAGCAGGTAGTTCAACCCCAAAATAACTTCAACTAGTATAGCACCATAAATAAAATGTACGTAGTAATAAATTAACCGGTAATATTTATAATTTACTATGAACAAATAACAGCGTAATCAGCAGAATATTAATTATTTTTTAGGTGAAGTCAAATAACAAATACAATCAGAAACAAACAATAAATATAAAAGTGGACTATAACAACAACAACAACAACATCCAAGCCTTAGTCCCAAAAGATATTGGGGTTGGCAAACATGAATCGATACATGATATCACCATCAAAAGGAAAAGAAAGAAAATAAAGATAAAAAAGATAATCTATTATGAAAAAGATAATATAAAAAGAGATGAATATACCTAAAAATGATAAAATAAAAAAGATAAAATAATATTTATCTATACAAAATAATAAGCATGAATAAGGGTAGGTCTATTTTAGGTATAAAAAATTTGTTGGTGGTATAGTACAACTTACTTCACGTGTACTTTGTTTTTAATTATTTGTGCCTTTTTAAGGGGGTATAACTCTGTTAAGAAACGCAACTTGTCATCCGTTCCTCATCCCCGTCACCCGCGCGCAACCCACAGTTCCCACTCATGGTAGCGGATTAAGGGAGTGTTTGCTACTGCTTCTGCTTAAAAAAGCACTTTTGGAGAAGTAAGGAAAAAGTGATTGGTAGTAAAAGTTGATAGTGTTTGTGAAAAAAGTGATTTTGAAAAGTAAAAGTTGGTAGTGTTTGGTAAAATAAGTGTTTTTTGTGTAATAGAACAAGGAGACCTCTGCAAACTCATCTTCCATAGCCAAAATTCGAGCTCAAGCCATAGGGTTCCAAGAAGGAAGATTAAAGAAGGAAAAAGCTAGGAAAAAGTGTGAACAATTAAGGTAAGGACCTTATATTAACTTTTCCTTTATTCTTCTTCTACCATATGAGGTATATATCATGTAAAGGACCTTAAGTATGGTTCCACATGCTATAAGTATGGATTTATGAGTTGAAAGGTGGTTCTACGTCCAAGAACGGACTTAGAAGCCAAAACGACCGGTTCACCGGAAAATAACCTTTTTGAGGTTATTTGTATTAACATGGGTTTTATGATTATAAAACCTTGTTAGGCACTTGTAAAGGGTATTTCAAGTGGTTTCACAAAGTTGGAAAAGTCGCCGGAGTTGTCGCCGGAGTTGACCAAAAGTCACCGGAGTTTCACCGGAGTTCAACCAAGAAGGGTAGAACTTCATAACACTAGTTCAAGGTGAGTGGACGGCTTAATATCTTATAACTTTTGGGTTAATTATGAGATTACCTAAATAAATGTTATATGAGTTCATAATGATGTTTAAAAGATATTTAAACATGTGATTAGCCAATAGAGTTAAGTTTGTATGAAAGAAATTAATTGTTGATGCATGGAATATGATATGAAGAATTATATGAAATGCATATTTGCTTGAAGTGTATTAGAAGCACAAATGAATATTATTAACTTAATTATATGATGATTAAGTTGATACACACAAGGCATGAAATGGCGGTCAACAAAAACGTGGACCGAAGAACAAAGGATTTAATTAATACCGGTTGGTATTAATTAATTATAAATCTATATAAATGCATGGTTTTGCATGGATTGTGATGCATAAGATTTATGTATTGGATTAGTTATGAGTAACTAAGTATGTTATAGACTCTATCTAGGTTGATAGGAGGTTGATCATAGGAAAATTTGGTGGAGGACCCTAGTACTTAAAAGGTATTTAACACTCAAAACTTGGTGGAGGACCCTAGTACTTAAAAGGTACTTAACACTCAAAACTTGGTGGAGGACCCTAGTACTTAAAAAGTACTTAACACTCAAACTTGGTGGAGGACCCTAGTACTTAAAAAGTACTTAACACTCAAACTTGGTGGAGGACCCTAGTACTTAAAAAGTACTTAACACTCAAAACTTGGTGGAGGACCCTAGTACTTAAAAAGTACTTAACACTCAAAACTTGGTGGAGGACCCTAGTACTTAAAAGTACTTAACACT